TTCCAGGATTCAATATAGAAATTAATCAAAATCTATTCAACGGCTTACCCGCAGACAGATTTATTTACGATCTGTTTCAATATTGAATCTAAACACGATAAAAGCTTTTTGTTTCTATTTTACCCATCAATTGGTGTTTGATTTCAATATTATTTTGAAATTAAATTGTTTAAACCATAGATACGAATTACTTGGTGTAAAATAGTACATTGCTATCAATACCAAGACCATGGACGATTAGTGTCTGGGCCCCCATCAGGTAGACCGACGATCTGACAAAAGTTGCGGGAAGCCATTGAATGTGGGCAGCGCAGGATGAGATCTATGGAGGAGGCCTATACTCAGCAGAGGGCGTCGTACGGCTGTTGATGATGAGTACCAAGACTAGGATTTTGGAACTCCCTACCTGGATCTATTAGAAGGGCAAAATCTTTAATCTCCTTCAATTCGCAGTTAAAATCTTATTTCCTGTAAGTTTCGGCTGTTTTTCTTTTTTCTTGCGCCTTGGTCATCACTTGTATTTTGAGCATTTTGATCGACTTTAAATACTTATTTTAGTGATACTTTACTTTTACAAACTGTTGTTGTTCTGTTTTGTTTTATTTTTCTATCTAAGGTTGGCTGGAAAAAATCATGGGCTAGCGATAAGGCCGCCTTTTGTATGTACTTGTATAAATATATAGCCTATGTCACCCAAGTATGGTGTAACTTCCCGTAGGTAAAAAAAATGAGAAAATTTAGTCCAGTAGGGACTTGATTGTGGGAAACAATTCAATACAAACAAACATTTTTCCCCTTTATAATATTAGTATAGACTTCGGATGTAGCTGTTTTCTTATTATTATTAAAGTTTCGTTATTTTATACAATTATTTATTGATAAAACACTACACCTTTTTGTATTTTCATGGTAAATATAACATAGATATAAATATAAACATCTATTGATAATATATAGATAAAATTTTATCGATTTTAATTGCCTATATTAATAATTGCATAGAAAATTTTTATAGTATTATTTATAGTTTGATTTACGCATGTAGGTAACAGATACACTTACTGAATTAAAATGAGATTAGGAAATGACGTCATTAGCACAGATTTTAATTAAATATCATAATATTGGAACTATTATACGATATTAATCAAAGTGAAATAGCCTAGTTTTTAATAATAAATAAAGTAACCCAAAGTTCTGCTAATTGCAAAACAAAATTAGAATTCAGGTTTACATTAGACGAATATAGGTCAAACATGAATCCCTATTTGATTTTTGATTACCTAAACTTATTTGTTTCTACAATCAGAATTTATTCAGCTAAATAGAAGAATTCTGTTGCAGTATTTAGATAGATCTTTAAGTATATGTTTATGATTATCTTAAATATATGATACATATAAAACGTTGTTTTTTGTACCTATGATTAAAACGTTAGCACATTTTCAGCGCAGAAAAAATCATATTAAAAATATTTTAATAACTTGTGCGTACAGTCACGAAGTTGAGTAATATCTTGCAAAGTCAGATTATTATTACAAAAGTTCGTGTCGAATATTTTCGTCAACACTTAAATATTACTTGTGGCGTCTTTATTGTTTTTATAATAAATCTTAATATTTAATATACCTTGTATTTTGTTGTGTTTATGGATGTAGCCTTTGTGGATATCTTACGCCTATATATGAGGCTTATGTTTGCTGTGTTCCATTACAATATTTTATTGAAACAGGTTAGGTGAGGTTGGACAGATTGCTTGAACATTAATGGAAATACGCTTATTAAGGGGTCGGGTAGGTCAATTTCTCTTAAGCGCCAAGATCTTGAGAACAAAAAAAAGACTTGCCCGGGTTGCGAAAAGTTATGAATTCAAATAAAATCACGCACCTGAGACTGTTCGTTCGAGTAAATTTTCTATATATCAGATGGCATTAAAAAACCAAAATATCCCCTTGTTTCTATAATGGAAAACCAACCAACCTTGTATAAATGTGAACAATAAATTTCGCAGAAACACGTTCATTTGTGCCATATATGTATGGACCAGTCATTATGCTATGACGAACGTTGGTGACCCAATTCGAGCAGTTTATTTGGTTCGGTTTTCACTATTGCCGGGGCGCGCGGCGTCTGGCGCGTCGGGTGTTATTATTGTGGACCAGAATTGTTCCACTTGGCTTCTCTACAACTCTAGCCATTCAGTCGGAACATATTGTTTGTGGCGTTAGAATATTGTATACCTAATAATAATAATACTGTTTTATCATCTAAAATGTCTAGAAGATAAAACAGTATTATTATTTTAAATGTTTTGTTGTTTTATTTATACAGAAAGTTATTTGTGTTGTGTAACTATATTATGACTGAATATCGAAATAAGTCTATAATAATAATGGTTTTTATTCTTATATATAAATTATATAAACTATATATATGTCGCATCATCTTTAAGAAGATCGTTTGATTTAGTTTCTTTTATTTTAATTGCTAGTTACTCGATTACTTAATTACTCGATTGTAGAGAGAGCGTGATCATCGCTACTTTTAATTTTATTAGAATGGTGACACTGACTTTGACAGTTCGTTAATAAAAATCAAGTTGCCGCCATTTTGGCACACATTCTGTTTCCAAACGCCGAGAAGTAAAGACATCCGACGACATCACGCTCATCTCGTTATATTTTCGTATGAAAAGTGATAAAATGGAAAAAATCCACTTTGGTATACACATCTGCAGTGTTATTTTAAAGATAGTCCTCCGATATGGACGATCTATTTGGGCTTCGTAATAGCCCCTTCTGACTACCCGCCGACATATAAATTATTTGCGTGGTTTTTTACTCTTCTCTCAGTATAACAGGTAAACAGAGTTTTAATAAAAAATATACATTTAGAAACTATATACATAAAAGATTTAGAGTTAGAGTACGTGTTCCACAATTTCTATGAACTCTTCAATATTTACAAGGAAAAGTTCAGAAAAAACATATATATATATATATATATATATATTGTACCTACTTAGACTTGCTTTCCGACAAAACAACTTAGGACGTATTTTACTTATAACGAGAAGCCTTACTAGATTAAAACTTATAAATCTCCACGAAACCGGTTGAATAACGGCACAAATTTCTGCCGAACCTCTCTGAAGTTGTTAAATCCACTAATTGTCCGTGCTATTATGAAAATACCTTCTGCACCGTTCCAAGGGTGGTTTTAACAAAGCCAAATTATATTTACCTCAAATATACAAATGAAATGAAAACGGCTGCGTGGAATAGTAATATGCCGTAACATTTTATAGTTCTACTTCCTGTGTACTTCTGAGCCACCGTTTAAAAATATTAATAGCAAAATACGCTTGGAAAGGATAAAGTGCATTAAGATTCACAGAACAAAGATAATTTGGAGATAATATTTATTTGTATAACTTTAAGCATTATGCCAACATTTACTCCAAATTTAATTATGAAAATTATATTTGTAATTGTTTGGCTTCGTGAAACTTATTTAATGCTTTCCAACATAAATTGAGAAAACATAATACTCGTATTAAACTTTACAGAATATGTGGACTTAAATAACGCGATTGATTATCCTATACCTATGGAATTGAAGTAAGATTAATAACATGAATGTAGTAATTTACATTCTATCTTATTTTTATTTAAAGATAAATAATATGAAAACACATCTAAGTACTTAGATGTAAGAAGTTATACAACTTACACATGCAAAGAACTTATCGTATAACTCTCAAAGGTAACAAACAATAGTTTCACTATTTATATAAATCCAACCTGAAGATGTAAACAAATTTAAACCTTAGTACACTGTACTTAAGGTGCAAATAAAGTGCGGGTTAATATAAACAATCTTACATGTTATGTTATGGCAAGTTTTGTCAAAAGTTCACGGGTCACGCCGCATGTTTCAAGCAGCTTGATGGGTGGCTGTGTCAAAGATAGGTCTCGTCCCCTGAGTTATGACGCGGCACCGAGCAATTACTTAAACTAATACATAATATATCATGTTTGAAATTACCCTTCCTTGGTTGATTAACTTAAGTTCCCCGAACTCAGTGACTTAGTTTGTGAAGATATTTTGGAAGGAATGCCTGTTGGACAATTATTTGAATTTTGTTTTTAAATCATTACTTTATCCATTATTTAGATAAAATAATTTAATTCAATCGATGGCGCAATTGTTAGCGCGTTCGGTCTGCGATACGGTTGTTAAACAATGGCCGGTCATTTGACCAGGATTTGTGACCAAAATTTAATTTCTCGAACTCCTTCTTGTTGGTTCCGGTTCCGGCTACATCTGCAGTTAATACCCACCAATCCGCACTGGTCCAGCGTTGTGGGTCATGACCCATTCTTCCTTTTCGATTTAATAAGATTCCATCCACAGGGAAGGTTTGAGACTCAACAGTGGGGATATTAATAAGCTGCTGATGATAAGTATGAATGACTGTAACGACATTACATATTAAATTTAATTAGTTTAAACAATTATATTATTCGAAGATAATATACGGATGGATCCTTGATTTTCTTCTCTTTTTAAACGCGTTATATTTTTACTTACAGATAATAATGTCTTCCCTTCTAGTTTCGTTAAGTCTAAGTTTGTTATAACGTGCCTAAGGTTTTATAATGCTAAATACGCTAAGCCAGAGGTTCCCAAACAATTTTTTCTCGTAGACCATTTAAAAAAATTACTGGTTTCGGTGGACCCCCTGCTGCTACAGTTTTACCATATTTCCAAAATTCGTCCAAAATGTAAAGATGTAACGATGGAAATTTACGCCAACGTAGATCCCCGTTGAAACCCTCGTGGACCCCTGGGGGTCCACCTGCAACACTTAGGGAATCACTGCGGTAAACTAATCAAAAGTAAAGATTATAAATGGACGTAAGCCTAAAATTCCTAAATAGTTTAAGTAAAGAACATGTTATTTGTTATTTATTTAATATTTTTCTGTTAGATTAGAAATGAAACTCAATAGTTTAAAGCTGTGTGAGTGAGTCAGAAGTTTTTCATGCCAAATAATTCATTATAAAATATAAAACTCTTGTTCTTAATGTTACAATTTGTTTCTGGCCCATTACATTACCCCCATTCATGCGGTAAATTGTAACATTCGTTAGGTTTTTTTCAAGGCCGTTTGTACAAAAAGTCGTTACAGTTTTGATTACAATTTTATTTGAAATCGATTGTTTAATAGTTTTTAATTGGAATTATACTGCTAGATTTACTAAATACTAAACAAGTAAAATTTTTATAGCCAAGAGACCACAAATTATTACCCACGTTCCCCTACATCGCTATTGTAACAAAATACAATATTATTGTTTATTGTATTTTTAGATTACGTGTTAGATACAAGGAAGGATAAAATTGTACATTTACAATACTCATCAAAGCTCAGTTTATTTGGAACTGCGACTTCACCCGCGTAAGCTTACACGATCGGATCAGTATTTCCGAAGATGAGATCTACAATAAAACAAAAAAGTTAGAAATTTTACATAGAAATTTCACAGACTAACAGAAATTTACCTCTTTTTGTCTGTTTTGTGTAGTTATAATTTCTTTGGCAGAATTAATAATTTATTTATGTTTACCTACAGATTTGGAGTCGCATCGCTGCTACTCTTGTCCCCTCAACGAGACCTGCGAAACGCCTGCCTCAGTGGAATGTCCTGTGGACCGTCCACTATGTGCTATGACAGTTGTTACACCTAGTGAGTTAAATGTTAGCTAAGGAGCTGTTGCTTAACAAGGCCCACTCTTTTTGTTTCGATCGTTGGAGTGCTAAAAGCCAATTAGATTTTTGTTCCAATTTCTGTCAGATACCTACCGACTGATCGACAAAGACAAAATAATGCCATTTAAAACTATTTTAATTGGGTTTAAGCATGCTATCGGTCAAAACATTCGACTTTATTACGCGACATTTACTTATATGAAAAAAATGTCTTTCAGTTACAAATATTATTGCAACAGCCAACGCTTCAAAGCTTGTGAAGGATTTATAATAATAGAAATAAATTTAATTTATACCGATTTCTGTGGACCGCCGGTTTCATGGTGTCGCTATCTCCGACGAACCGGGTTTAGTTCCCTGTCTTATTATGAACACAATGCATACTTGTATGACTTATACTCGTACTTTTAGAATGATAAATTATTGTATATCGCTCCACAGATTTCACATCGTCCCTCGGCTGTGTCACCACCGCCGCTGTATTAAAAACTCCGTGTTCCGTCAAGAAAACTCCTCCTGAAGTTTTTGAGCTCACTTGCGTTTGTACTGAGGACTTGTGTAACGCTCCTTTCACGACAGAAATACAAAAGCAGTTATACAATTTCACTTCGTCCAACATCACTATTAATTCAACCGACTATACAGACGCTTTTCTCAAATTCGGCAACCTGACTAAGAATGATTATAAAACTATGACAGTTCCTGTGTTAATAAAAAATTCAGGAGGTTCAAAGTCTACTATCAATGCAAGTATGGTTAAGGCGCACACAACGATAGCACATCCTGTAGAGGTAAACATGCCTCGTTCGGAGGCTTTGAAACGAGATGCTACAGCCCCTTCAGATGACGACGAGGATGAGACTGAAGGCAGCGGTTCCTACGAGGAAACTAGGATTTTGAGACAGCCAGCAGCAGACCCCGCTAACCCGAGCTCTTACTTACCGGCGGAGAAAAACAAAGCATCACACATAAATATCAGTTTCTTGACATTACCACCAATTTTTTATTTTATAGCGTAAAAGCGAAATCAACATTTTGTTGACGACGTAAGTGAAGTAATTTAAAGATTTATATAATAAATTTATTATTAGATACCCTAACCATTTTCGGAGAATTTAAATTAAATGTAGCGATTACCTATTGGGATCAATTACGTATGTTTGTAAAATTCCATTTATATAATTTTATGTTTTAAGATTTGCATTTTCTTTCCCGATTATTTTAATAAATTAACTTTTAGAACGATTTTAAATATAAGAAAATATTTTACGTACTTAATCGACTTATATTTATATTTAATTTTCACTTAAATTTGTGATAATGTAACTACGTGCCAAACGTAGAAATGTAAATACAGAAGAGTTTGTCTTAAATGAATGATATTAAATTAGAGCGAAGTAACGAGTAGATCTATGGCATGAAAGATTAACGTAGACCTATGAAGGTAAGTCGAACAAATAAGGGACGTTCCATTTAGGAGATTGAAAATTTTAATGAAGGATTATGTAAAGCCAGTGTACAAAGTACAGACATCAAACGTTTTGTTGTCACATGTACTATTGATATTTACTATAGAATTAAGACAATTTTACCCCTTAATCCTGGTGCTTGTAAATTAAATAATCACATTTCAATTTCTTACGACGATGTAGGTATAGTGTGTACATTAAGCCTGAAACCATAAGCCTCTCTTGACTTCACTGTAGTTGGGTATAAAAAGAAAGTCCATGAATTTTCCATGCTTATCTGAAAATCTGTATAAACGATTTGTTTGCGAAAAGAAAAGTCTTCTGTTTGCATAAGCGAATTGTTGTATAAAAATAAGGAAATGCCTTTAAAAGTAATAAACAGAACTACATTAAGTTTTCAGTCTTATTCTAGTCATTTATAAAACAAATGAATAGAATGAGACGGAAAACTAATATGGCTTTTAAAGCTGGCTGTTTATCAAAATTTTTTTTTTTTAATGTAATGCTTAAGAGACAATTTGATATAGTTTAAGATTATTGTAGTAATGGTTATTAAAATGGATTATATAAAAGGAAACACTTAACTATTCTAATTATAAAAAATACGAAATGTGTACATTACAAACTGGTGCATTTTGTTGATGTGCTAATAATTTTGGTGCACATTTAGTATAATTTTTCTGTTCGAAATAGTAACACTCTTTGGACTGTATCTTATTAGATACCATGGTGCAACGTCAGTAACGCTTCCGTGGCTACTCTTGGCATATGTGATACGAAAATACTAGTTGCTAAAACGAATACCAAACCAGCAGTGCTATTTTGTTAAAATATCGCGTGGAATGCAGCGTCAGCGCTGTCCACCGTTGCTTTAGTGCTTTAAGGTCTCTATTAAATAAAACTTATTTTAAAAGGTAATAAAGATATTATTTTATTGAACTTTTAATGTTGTTGTCAGACGCGATATATTTTGCAGCTGATTAATATGACGATGATATGGCGGCAACGAGATAGAGGTTATTCAATAGTACATATGCCTGACATATGACTGACGCCTTTGTCACGCTTCCAAGCCGTAGCCACGTTAGGGTTAAGTCCTAGTATAATATTTTTTTCATTTGTTTGATGGTAAACGGCTAGTTTTTACGGTTTAAGTTCAGTTTTATACGGAGGATCATTATTGTATCCCAAGGCAGTTATAATAGGTAATTGAGACCAGTCACTTTGTATGCACATTCATGCAGTAGGTATATAGTCAATTATTATATTGGAATACATCACTTTGTTTCAATGAAATGTTGTTGTGATTTGAATAAATAAACAAAAAATATTAGTTTTTTCCTTCATCGGTTATTAGCTTTGAAAAATTAAAAAACACGACTGCGTAAATCTAAATAAAAATAAAAAAAAATCTTGTGGGTCTTATATTATATATTTATATATATTGATTTATTCAAAAACAATTAATGTATTTACATTTACAAAAACAATAAAAACTTACACTAAAACTTATAAACTAGCTATTTATTTATATTATTAATCAAAACAATAATATTTATGATATATGCATTGCTACATTAAAATAAAAAAATATTAACATACTTAAGCTATAAAGAGCATAGCATTCATTAACCACGCGCAAGTATAGCGTACGCGCTGTACTAGCTACTTAATACCATCTTATTGTTCCCTTATTTTTCAACCAACTTCAAAAGAAAAGGCGTTTATCAATTCGATGTATATATGATGTATGTATGTCTGTATGTTTGTCCTCGGATATCTCGCAAACTAAACGTCGGATTGCAATAATTTTATATTTCATTGCCGATTTTGAAGATATAACCTATTAAAATTTAAGGGAGTAATAAATTTGCCGTCTTACAAAGCAGTTAAATTAAATTACGTTCTTTTTAACCAACTTTAAAAGAAGGAAGCCGTCAGTTTACTTGTGCATGTACGTCATTATCTGACACAAAAAGAGGTTCCCAATTTAACCTATATGTATGTAATTTTGATGGAATATAGCGCAATATTAATATTTAGTTAGTTAGTTAGTTTGTATTAATAAAGAGGAAGAAATAAAAAATAATTTAAAAAAATGAAATCGCCTTAAAAATCGTATTAAGAGAAATGACTGAAAAGAGAGAAATAATACCATAAATTTTTATTTTCCATAAAATCAAAACACAAAAATTAATAAAGATTATAAGATATTTTAAGATGAAAGAACTCCGATAAACTGAATAAGCATGATGTGTTCGTTATTTAACCATACAATATCTGAATAAGGAGTCATGGTATGACAAATAAGCAAAAACTGCTCCGTGAACGAAATACTCGTATATTCAAAAAGAATGTCAACACGTTCTTCATAACCTCACTTTGAAATTAATAATAGCTAAATCATATAAAATACTTCATTTTTTAAATTAAAGCACTTTAGATTATGTAAAAATACTAGCTACGTTACTTACGGCGCTTAAATATTAAAAAAAAAACTTGCAATATTTCATTCTTCTAAGTGGACCTGTTTATTAACACATATTTATTTTTTAAATGGCCGAGCTATCTTTAATTATCTAGACTAAAGCAATTCATTTTGTGCCGAAATTGCTAGAATATCGTCTGTAAAAGCGCTTATATAGACGTTGACCAAATGACCATGGCAGCTTTAACTCGTCAAATTTGCTATTATACAGAAATTATTCAGCTAGTTTGTGTTGCTTGGGTAGGCTACGATCTAGGTCTAGTATTGTGTATTGTATTCTTTATAAATTAAAAAGTTTCATAAAGATTTATGACATACACACGGTGGCTTTAACAATCTGTTTTGAATGCATAGTCAGATATTAAGAGTGTATCTAATGCGTCTTTGATACTACACTGGACGCAAAGTTGTGCCCGTTCAAGAGTCGTAGCAAAGTGTGGTTGGACCATTAAATATATCTTTAAAAGTGTGAACCGACTATTCTAGAATATACTTAGAACATGCTTAGTTGGAAGACTAGTTCGTACTAAGTTTGTAAGTTTGGATATTTGTAACTTCTTTCATGAAAACGGATTTTAATGTTTGGTATATGGATAACGCTAAGCCTGGATTAGCATATAGGATACTTTTTATTCCACTAAATGGTTACCTAAAGATAAAAGTATCAGTCGTTAGGTAAACCACGCGCGCGAAGTTTCTGGCAGATAGCTGTTCATTTATAAACAGAGGACTAAGTTTAATAATAATTAAAGTTGACTGAAATTTTACTAAGTTGAAAATAAAATTGACTTAAAAAAATTATATATAATACTCTCAAGAAATTTCCATTGAAGGTGGGCAGAGCGTGATAAGAGTAGGTAAGTATAAAAAATAATTAAATCTCTGTCTGCATCAGCCTCATCCTTTTTGTTTTTGAAGTATATAAACATGTGTAAGATACCCTTGAACATTAAATCCAAAGACAAATAAGCCTATTTCCATAGACAATATTTCGAACATTTAGAAAATTAACTATTATACGTACAGAACATACATGTAAAAAACGCTTTATCAGTAACTTCGCTTATATTTTAAGTATAGGTTAGGTACCTTTTGGCCTTTTTACTTTCACTGCGTCGTCTGACAAAGATATTCAAAGGCACCTACAAGGGCTGTCGAGGTTAAGTAACGGTTGACTGGGCTCGCCACTTAGAAACTCAGCTCTTGTACGTCCTAGCTTAGAACAAAGAGTTGATTTTTTTTATAAAGGTCATAAGGAAAACAAATAATACTTCTTTCATTTAATATAGACGTCCTTTCAGGTTTGTTACGTAAACGGTAAAAGAATATGAAAAGTTCTGTGATGTTTCTACTAAAATTAAATAAGTTGGGAAGCAGAATGGGAGAATTAAATTATAAATAGCCTTTGTATCGCTTGTTAGCTACATATCATGTACACTAAAATACAACTAATTTGTTATGGCTCATTGATATTATTAAGCGCTGCAAACTTCGACCAATCTGAAAGTGCCGGATTAGTCACGTAGCAAATGCGCAATGGTCTGACCGATAAATAATTTTTTTCTAGTCAGTGTTAAAAAAACAAGAAGCAAAATAAGGCACGCTACATAAAAACTAATTTCTGTGGCCTAATCATTCGCATAGCATAGTCCCTATTATTCTAATAGCACTCGCATAGCATAGTCCCTATTATTCTAAAAAAATATTTAAACGACTTTGTCACGAAAAGCAAGTAAAATAACAATTTTAAGTTGGTGGCATACTCCCAAATTGTTCTCAGCCCTGGAGACTAATAAATCACGTTAGGATATAACGAGTGGTGGTGATATTTTACAATAGAAAAATAAGTAGTGCTGAACTGGTGCCAGAAGCTTTCTTAAAGCTATCCGGCTTAAGGTTGTGCGAGCCACAATGACAGAAAGAATGATTAGGACGGATTCATTTTGATAGAAAAATAATAAAAACCTGTAAAGTGTAACAAATAGTGGTTATAAAACAAGATACATTTCGTCTAGGCGACTCGTCTATATTCTACTCGTATAAAGCCCGATTATAATGGATT